ATAATTTACATGAGAATTTCATACATGTGTATATATATATATACATGCACGTTTATTCCTGCACAACATCCTGGGAATGGCTCGTATCGGCCTTTTTTCATTCTTAGTTTGACAATTTCACGAGCCTTTACTATTCATTAATTTGTAATATTTTTGTTTAGCGTTGAAATTTTTTCGACAGAAATTACAGATTTCAAAGAGACAATATTTAATCATATATGTTTTAACAAAGTCTTAGAGAGTAGGCAAAAATATTATTTTTGCCTAACTGAAAGGATTCAAAAGTGTTTTGAATATTGAAAGTTATTAGTGTTTTTTTTTATACATTTTTGTTATGTAAGTTATGACAAGAATCTACATTTTTCAGACATATAATCTCGAAATATTTAATTCATATTATACGAAATTCAATTAATTAATATATTATATTCATATGATATATGTTATATGAATTAAATATTTTAGGATTGTGCATCTGTAAAATGTAGATTCTTTTTGTGATTTACAAATTAAAAATATAAAAAAATTATTCATACTGATAAAATAGTTTATTTATATATTACATGTTTTTCAATATTCTAAAAACTTTCAAATTATCACAGTTAACTTATATTAAGAATTAATGCAAATATAATAATATAAATGCAAATATAATAATATAAATCTTGAGATGTTTAACTCATCCTTATCAATAATATTATGTACTTTTTTCAAGACTTACAGTCTTGGAAAAGCATTTTGCGCTGTCATACGCTGCAAGCGCGCAACGTGAAACGTTGCTTTCTACCCTTAGTGCTTACTCGCATAGCAGGTTTGGTGAAAAGGAGACGGAACATAGTATGTCCGCACTCTTCCACGAGCCGAACAGCCGAGCGTGACGTCACACACACGGATGGCGGTTCTCGCTTGTGTGCGTGTCCTCACCACTTCGGTGCTCTTGGTGCTCTCTCTAGCCTGCCAGATCTTTCATCACTTCTTCGGACCTCTTTAGCTCAGAAGAACCATTCCTGCAGGGGAGACAAACTCAGCTACTTTTAGTGGCGACGGAGTTTTATTTCGGTCCTCGTGCCAGGCGGTAGCACAATCGATTTCTTTCTCTTCCTCTTTTCCCCCTTGTCTAGAAGTGCATCACCTGATATCAGCCATAACAGTTTCCAACAGTTTCGCTTTTGCTGGGTTTCGCGGTATTTCGCTACATTTTATGAGTTTTCTTCTGGTTTTTAAGTGTATTTTTGTGTATGTGTATGGTTTTGTGCTGAGATGTGTGTAAAACCAGCGGCACACGATGTTTTTCTGTCCGCTGGATTTCTGACTGCCGTGCTGGCTAAAGCAAGAGCAAAAGCAAGTGTGGCGATATAGGATGCAGTGCGAATTTTTATATTTAAAACAACTTTTTAAATGTATTGTGTGAATAAATGTGTACATTTAGAGTTATGTTATTATATGTAAAGAGCATATATCGTTATTTGTATTATTGTATATTTTCTGTTATATTATTTATATAAGAGGCCCAGAAAAATTATGAAATATCCAGTAAAGAGACCTTACAGCCTGAAAGATCCACGGAAGGAAGTGGTAATGCGATAATTATATATTAATTGTTTTGGACGTTTCGATCATTTATTTTAGATCATCTTTAGCTGTTTAACAATAAATTACAAATTAATATAAAAGAAGATAATAATTTATCAGATATAACAATATACACACCTTATCTACTCGAATCCAGATGACCGCTAACACATGTAAGAGAAGTCAAAAACAACGCAACTCTGCATTGAAACTTCTGTGAGTAATTCAACAAATAATATAGCATATATAGCATATATGCTGATAGCATCATTTAAAATGTATACACACACACATGCTCACAAAATACAATAAAAATATAATGATACAAATAATATACCATAAGAAATATGCAGTAAATAATACAAAAAACAATATATGTATGCTCTTTACATATAATAACGTAACTTGAAATGTACACACATTTACACAATACATTCACAATGTTGTTTTAAATATGAAAACATCCACACTATACATATACACTGCACCATGTACCACCGCACTTGCTGTTACACACACATTTCAGCACAACACTATACACACAAAAATACACTTAAAAACTAGACAAAATGTGAGTATCATTACAATAATAAAAACTATGTTGTTATAAATAAAAATGTTACAATTTATTAGATTAAGTTATTTGTGAATAAGTTTCTGAGCAATTATTAAATTTAACCGTTACTTCTA